AAAATGTGTCATAATATCAGCATGTTGATGAGAAGGATGGTTATCAACATGTTTGAATACTATGAGCCAGTCTCTTGTTGTGAGATGTGGGCAGAAGATCTGCTTTGGAGGCTGAGCTGATGATGTGTACATTGGGACTTTCTCCTTCTGTTTTGTATGCTCATATGGATTTCCAGGTTTAGCATGCAGTTTTTGTGTTAGTTCAGGAGGCATGTTTATAGAGATATAGGCTGTGTTGCTTTACAATAATTTTTTTTATGTTTGTTATAGTCTATACAAATAAATTATGTTCTTTATTATTCTAATATATGCATAATGTCATATCAGCTTACTATAATTTTCGATCTGACAATGCATATTTCTAACTAGAACCATATGCATTATGTGATATGCATTTCTAGCCCATTTCCCTGCTCCCTGACTGCATTCCAGCCCAATCCATATGCAAAGTCAGAATTATGCATTTCAACATCATGCATTGTGAGATAGTCAACTGTACTTAAGTTCTTTACTATCACACACACTCTATATGAATCACCAAAAGTAAAAACTCAACCACCTAAGGGCCAAACAAGGGGAGAGACTCCCACTAGATGGCTCAAACCATTTGACACTGAATAGATCTGGAGAGCCATCAAAGATGCTAGAATGGAGAAGGAAGCCAAAGCTGTACTCAAGAACTAGATACATAAGATCCAGGCCAAAGAAGTAATAGATGAAATAGTGGAAGGAATGTGATGAGCTGAGCAATGCCAGGCTCTAAAATAGCTTGATGAACTCCATGACCCTAGGAGATATGTTCAGTGAGCTAAGACTCTAAGATGGGACTTGACTACTAAAGCCCAAATTAAAACACTCATAAACCACTCTGTGTATGCAGTAACTGCTCTGATTGACAGTGGCTATACCAGCAGCTCTATCAACTATGCTTTCATTAAAAAGCATGATTTACCAACCTGAGCAATGGCAGCTCCAATTCCAGTATACAATGCTGACAGCACCAAAAACTAAGCCAGCTCAATTACTGAATTTGTTGAGCTCTGACTCACCATCAGAGACCACTCTGAATGAATTGACTTGGCTGTGACTGACCTAGAAATAAAAGAAGTATTCCTAGGCCACAACTAGCTGATCTAACACAACCTCCTTGTCAACTGGAAGATTAGACAAATTACCTTTGTATGGTGTAAATGCTGGAAAATCCCCTTCAAGCTATCTGATAAAGATTCTGAGGACTAATAGAATGAGGAGATAGAGAATGGCAAAATGATACTCACTGTTGATATGTGACAGGCACTACATGTTTGGGTGGTACACTATGCTAATGACTTAGCAGCCAATGCCAACCTCAACTGCAAAACCTACTCTCTTGGCAATCATGAGCAACAAGAACTTGATAAGTTCTTGAAAGAGAACCTCTCTAGCAGATGGATCTGACCATCAAAGTTTCTAATGGCTTCACCATTTTTCTTCATCAAGAAGAAGGATGGCAAGCTCCAACCAGTACAGAACTACTAGAAGCTAAATAAAATGATGATCAAGAATTGTTACCCACTTTCATTGATCTCAGAACTAATGGACAAGCTAAGAGAGGTGAAATACTATACTAAACTTAACATCTGGTGGGAATACAATAATGTATAGATCAAAGAGAGTGATGAGTGGAAGGTGGCCTTCTAAACCAACTAAAGGCTATTTGAGCCTACAGTAATGTTCTTTGAACTAACAAACTCATTGATCATCTTCTAGTGGATGATGAACAATATCTTTAAAGATCTCATCATTACAGAGAAGATGACAATATACCTAGATGACATCCTGATCATGTCCAAGGATTAGATAGAACATTGGTGATTAGTTTGACAAGTTCTCAAATTAATGAAGAAGCACAAACTATTCCTCAAAGCTGAAAAATGCAAGTTTGAGATCTTAGAGATGGAATACCTCAGAGTCATTATCAGTGAAGAAAGTATCTGAATAGACTCTGTCAAGGTAGCTGGAGTAACTGAATGGCTGATACTAATAAAGAAGAAGAAACTTCAATCTTTCCTCAGGTTTATCAACTTTTACTGCTGATTCATTCAAGACTACAGCAAAATCATTAGGCTAATGATACAATTAATGGAGAATGCCCTATAGGGTTGAAAACATTCTCAATAATAAGCATTCAATAACCTGAAGCAATGACTCACAGAGGACATTGTCCTTATAATTCCAACTCAGGAAGGAAGATTCAGAGTTGAGGCCAACTCTAATAAAGGAATAATTGGAGCAGTACTGCCTCAGAAATAAGATAGAAGATGGCAGCTAGTGGCTTTCCTTTTAAAAGCCTTAATAGTGACTGAACATAACTATAAAATATATAACAAGAAGCTACTAGCAATAATGCTCACCCTGAAGGAGTGGTGTCATTATCTGATTAGTGCAGCCCAGACCTTTGAAATTTAGACTGACTATCAGAATCTCTAATACTTCTGATCACCTCAGAAGCTCAATTGCTGATAAGCTTGTTGGGTTACTAAACTATCTCAATATGAGTATATATTACATCATAAAGCTAAGATGGCTAATAAGAAGGCCAATCTTCTCAGCCAATGAGTAGACTATAATTAAGGAGGCAGTGACAATAAGAGTGTAGTGTTACTAAAGCTCAAACATTTCTGAGCAATGATAATGCCAATAGAGGAGAAGATCCACAAAAGAATCAAGAGTGCAATGCAAAGTAGTAGCAAATGAGACCAGTGCATAGCCCTATTACTGAATCACAAGCAGGGAATGATTAAAGAAGGGGGACTGATCTGCTATAATAGGCAGATCTATATCCTATAAGATCAAGAACTCTATAGTGAGATCATTGCCACATGCTATGACTATGCAACCATGGGACATCCAGAAATTGCCAAGACCAAAGAGCTGATCTTGTGAGAATATTGGTGGCTGAAGATAGATCAAGATATCAAATGTTATATCAAAGAATGCAAAATCTGCCAGTGGGAAAAGTCATTAATATAACCACAGGCTGCATCACTTCATCTGAACAAGGTCCCTCAATCACTATAGATCCATATTTTGATAGATATAATCATAGGATTATCTGATTGCAATAGCTATGATGCAATCCTTATCATCATTGATTGGTTCTTGAAAGCAATCATCCTGATTATGTGTTCAACCAAATTGACCTCAGAAAGATAGACAAAAATCTTACATGACAAAGTATATATTAAGTATGGGATACTCTAAATAGTTATTTCAGACCAAGACCTGCAATTTGTCTTGAAGTTTCTTGATGACCTATACTATCTCCTGAATATCCAACATAATGCTTCAACTGCATATCATTCACAAACTGATGGCCAAATAAAGTGAGTTAATCAAGAGATTGAGAAATATCTATATCTCTTTATTAACTACTGATAGAATGACTGGGTGGAATGGCTTGCCCTTGCAGCATTCTAACATAACAACTAGATGCACTCTGCCATGGATAAGACCCCCTTTTTCATTAACCATAGTCAACACCTAAAAGTCTCACACACTGGATGTACTCATACAATTATATCTGCATCCTCTGATTTCACTCAAACAATAATATAAATCCACAATGAAATACATGCCACTCTTGAAAAAGCAGCCATCACCATGAAGCACTAATATGACAAGCACTATCACCTTAAACATTTCTATAATATTAATGACAAAGTTTGGTTGGACACATCCAATCTTCATCTCCTGAGGCTGAAATGGAAGTTTGCAGATAAATAGACAGAGCCTTTCCCAATCTTAGCTAAGATCAGTGCTTCCACCTACAGATTCTATTTCCCTTCAAATTAGAAGGTCCATAATATATTCAACAAATCACTCCTAATATTATACATTGCATCTGCTTTTCTCAATTAAGAGCAACCACTATCTCTGCCTCTCAATCTAATTGATGACAAAAAATATTATAAAGTTGACCAAATATTAAATCACAAATTATATAAGGTTAAGACAAAAGACAGTAGAATCACAACAATAGTCAATTACTTGGTTAGCTGGAAGGGTTATAGCCTTAAATCTAATCAATAGGTCAATAAGAAATATATGAATACTGACAAGGCTATATGCAATTATGAATTATCTCTAAATTAAGCCATCAGAATGATAGTCTTAAGAAGAGAGTAATGTTATGATTTTTTTATTTTTATTTTCATATTAACCCCTATTTATGCTTAGTCAGAGTGCTTAAGCTAGCACTCAGAACTGCAGGAGAAGCTTAGTCATCACAACAAGCCAATCTGTCATTGTCCTTCAATATAGCAACAAACTCTTGACAATGCACAATAGTCTTTTATAGATAGTAATGATGCCCAAAAACAAAGAGCACAAAGACTCAGATGAGTACAATAGATAGTAATATAATTATTTCAATGGATGAACAGTATATAAGTAGAACAGCTCTTGCTGGTATAACCTCAGCTTCAAGCTAAAGTTTATTCATACTATTTCATTCTCAAGTCTCTTGTCAAATGGCTTTGAAGCACATTGGTCAATAAAGCACAATAATAGACTCAGGCATGACTGTATGAACATGATACAGTGCCTGTTTATCACATGTTTTGATCACATGTGGCTTAGGTTTAACACTTGGCAAATGAATGCTAAGAAAAGCACAGCCACTCTGACAATTCATACCACATAAATTATATGAATTTAAAAGTTCATATATCTTATAAAGAAACTAGAATCCAAATCATGCAATATTAAGGAAAACTCAAGTCTGTAAAGGGCTTATTATAAAAAGCTCAGAATAATACAAAAATATGTGAAATTTATTCTTTATCACTTGATTCTAACTTCTCATCACTAGACACTTTCTTGGCTTTCAAGTCTATCAACTCTTCACCCTCAGAAACACCCTTTTCAAAAAGCTAAAAAACTAAGATAACAGTATCAAGGTGAGCAGTATGAAAAAGGTTGAAAATATGGCCTATGACATTGTTTATTTGATGGGCATTTCAGCAAAGCTTGCAAAGGAGGCTCCAGATTTTGGTGATGAAAGCTATAAAATCAGAAATAAGAAAAATTCATGAAGATAAAAGAAAGGATTTATGAAGCTCAGAAACAAAAACAGGCTTCAAAGTATTGACAAAAGGCTCATTATAAACTATGAAGTTGTGCTTGTAAATAGTGCACTGGAAGCACTTCATTGAGCCAGAGTGAATACTCCAGCATTGCACATTGGCTCTCTTACAGGCATCACAAGCTTTGCTTATCTAGAAAAAAAAGTTAGCAAATTTAAAAGTTTACAAAATAAAAGAATGAGAGAACTTACAAAATGGCCAATCTTGTCAGCTAATTCCCTTTTAAAATAGGCACCTTTGCACTCAACAAAAGCTCCAAAGTCTTAATCAGAGACTAGAAGGCCCATAGGCTTCAAATCCCTCAGTTGAAAGGCTCTAAGAACCTTAGATATAGGCTCTCCTAGGCCACTATGTGTGTGAACTTCTTTAGCTGTCCTTTCTGTGACTTTATGAGAGCAGCTAGTACTTTGTTTTGAAGCTAGAAGTTTAGAGTCAAAAATAGAAAATATCATGAAGAAAAGAAAAAGATATACAGCTTACACTGCTCTGATCTCCCTCAGCAATAGCAGCAGGAGAATTCTCATGAAGACATTTAGAGACAGATGTCTCAATTGCCCTTCCAGCTAGGAAGAAAAAACCAGATCAGTTGCAAAATTTAAAACTAGAAACACACTACTTTGCATATACTTATTGCTAGAATCAGCAATAGGTGGAGACATCAGCAGATGAGCCTTGATAACTGTATGACCATCACATACAGAAGATATTACTCTTATACCAAAGATGAGATTATCTATAATAGAAATTTAGAAAGAAGAACTTCATGAAATAAAAATATCACATACCATTTTCAGCCCTCACTGAAGAGAGCAGCACATCCAAACTTTCTCTAAGAATAGTAGGGAAACTCATCCTTCCAGTTGAAGGAACTAGAATTTGAAAGGCAGAAGGGTGAGTCTTAATAGATGACTGAAGCACCTATACTAGAGGCTTTGACCTAAGACCAAAACCAGGACCATCTACAAGATAGAGTTAGAAAAGAAATTTTCCAAAAATAAAAGTTTGCATACCATTAATTATCTGTTTCAGTACTCTAGAGGTTAAAATAGAAGGAGTCCCAACTTTTGAAGAGGAAGGAGGGCCCACTAAGATAGGATCTTCAGCCTCTGAAGATGCACTCCAACCAAAGAAAATCAATAACAATACCACATTTAAACTAGAGAAAGAAAGAGTTAGCAAAATAAAAAGTTCAAGAATAAAAGAAAATATATCACTTCTGCAATAAGAAAATTGTACTCCTTGTCTGAGTGCTTCACTAATTTAGTGTTGAGAAAGGCCAACATGCACTATAACTGTTGCTTCTAACTATTCCATTCCTTGTCAGAAAGGAATCTCTCTTTATTCTTATGCCAGGCAAGATGCAGCCATTGTCAGATGATCAAGACAAAATACACTCAAGTGTCTGTGTGAGGAGCTTCCTCATAAGAATCTGACCTGTGGGTCAGACAATGACAAAAGATGAAGAGAGCATTAGTGAAAGACATAGGAGATATATAAAAGACAGGAGATATGACAGAGAAATAAAGCCAAGATACATTGAAGGAATATAAAAAAGTTCATAAACTTTATACTCTAAAAGAACATGCACAGACCAAGATCAACACTAGCAACCAAAAAGTTCACAAACTTTATAAACATTCTTGTCTCAAAAGAAAAAGCCTCTTCCAATAGGTGAAGAACACTCAGCTAAACTTTGCAAACTTTCTAGTGTGATCAAGAATATGATTAGACACATATAAAGCCAAATCAGATATCCAAAGTAACTATCTAATGATCAACCATATGTTACTATCAGAAAATATCAGAAAGAAGTTCATGAAAGGAAAGTTCAATAGTAAATCAATGAAAAATTGAAGTCAGAGAGAGATAATAAGTCTCTAAACTCTATGCACTTTGAAATTATAGGTCTCAATAATTATTTTTGACTTCTGCCCTTAAGTGGGCTTTTAGTAAATCAATTATTTTAGGTTCAACAGCAGTAATTTTATCAAGAACTATCTGTTATTCACTGATATCCCTTTGTGTGCAAAGATTATATATTATACATGAACTTTCCTTTTGTCTGTGAATATTTCTTGACCTTGTGAACTTTTTCTATTAACCTTCACAGCATGTAAACTTTTAATTCTAATAAGCACTATAGGCCTGGCCAGGCATCACAATCTCTGATCATATAAGACATACATTATTGTTAGTATATATATAGCACTTTAATGCAGCCTACAAGGTCTATCATGACATGTATACAAGATTAGCTGTGAATGTCTAAGCTTTTCATAGCTAGTATGTGAAAGAGTAATAGGCCACAGAGGACTAACTCTACATTTGGTTAGATATGTAAGGAATATTAGAAGGACTAGCATACTATTAGCTACACAAACTTTTAAATATGCAATATTTACTAAAAGCCTCACAGCCTTTAAGGCTTTATATAATAAAAAACTTCACTAGATTCACTAAGCCAGTACTATAGTTACAAAGGCTGTTTAAATGTAGTATACTTTAGTATTAGTAAAAGGATAGTATAAGTAATATATAAGATAACATACAAAGAGGAGAACAAGCAATACCAAGACTACTCAACACCTATACTAAACTGTATATCAGTACAACACCCCTCTAATAGAACCAACTACACAGACTACCTATAGGTCAATACTCATTAACTGAGAGTGCTATAGCATCTTGACAACTCTATAGTACTTGCATACAATATTAAGCAAACTTATAAATTTGTAAAATATTGCTTTGTCTTGCTTTATTCCTAAAAATATGAAAGAGATCTGCCACCCTTATATATCATCCTTATGCTGCCTAGATCTAACAAAAGACCTTGAAAGATAACTAAAAAACACTAACTATTTCTCTAGACTCCCACTGAAACTGCATATAGGATTCCAACAATAAAAGTTTGCATATAGACTGTATCATCCAGTATTCAGATTCTTACACAATGTTTCTGTTATAGAAAAGTTTGTGCACATACTGTAAGTCACTGTAAACAAATTAAAGCCTCATACCTTTAAAGCTATATCCTGCTATATCCCTTAGGAGATTAGTCACTATATAGAGGTACATAGACTAGACTTGTCTGAATTAGCCTTTAGATTCTATGCTTTGGTTTCACTTACCACAAGAGGATTGGGTTTTCTGCCTGCAAGAAGTCTCTGGCAAAACAACTTCTAGTTCATCAATACACTGGCTTCTTTCTGATCATTATTAAAATAGATTCATCTGTCTATAAACTCTATCTTTCAACTGCCTAGTGTTAAGCCCAAATGACATGTGACTTAAACACATGATAAACTGACACTGTCTCACACTTTGAACAATGATGTCAGAGTTCACTTGATATGCTATATGGCTTTGTGTCTCAAGACCTTTAGATTGGCTTGAGATAAGATAGTGAAGAAATAAACTTTAGCTCAAAGCTGAGGATACTACAGCAAGAGCTATGCTACTTATATACTAGTTGTCATCTATCTAAAGATATAACTATCTAATTATGCATCCTAACATTATAAAGCATTTTATCTAATGTTGTTAAGCTACCTACAAAAGGGTATTGTCTGCTATCAAGTAGTTACTGTCATGTTGAAGGACAATGACTGACTGGACATCATTGTGATGACTAAGCCTGTCCCATAGTCCTAAGCACTGGCTAAGTGCTCTGACTAAGCAAAAATAGGAGTCAATTCCTCAAATAAAAGATAAAAAAGTGGAAAAATCATAACATTACCCTCTCCTTAAGACCATCATCTTGATGGCTAAATTAGGGATAAGTCCAGGCATTCTGAGAACAGATAATCTGCCCTTCTTTTCATAAGATTCATAAAGACATTGACCAATAAAATATCAGTTCAATGCCTGTTCACAGTCATGTATTGCATCATTGGTATTCATATGCTATTTGTTGACCTATTGGTTGGATTCAGATCCATAGCCTTTCTAGCTGACTAAATAATCAACTGTTATCATCATTCTACTGCCCTTTGCTTTAATTTTCCATAATTTGTGATCTAAGACTTGGTTGACTTTGTAATGCTCTTTGTCATTGATCAAGTCTGGCAAGGGGGGTGGTGGATATTTCTGGTTTGAAAAGGCTGATGCATATTTATCATATTGCTTTTTCATAGCCTCTATTGCTTTCTTGAGGGCTGTCTGGGTTTCAGCATAGATTTTAGCCATTGTGGCTGCAAAATCTATTGAGGCAGGTGTTATAGTTCAGAGTCATTTAGTTTGGGTGACATTGGAATGTCATCTATAATTGACAAAGAAGAGGGTTTTCTCCATTGCTGAGTGGATTCAGTTATTATGTTGGAATGCAGCAAGTGCCAGCCATTCCACCCAGTCATCCTGTCAGTAGTTGATGAAGAGATAGAGATATTTTTCCACCTTTTGATTTACCCTTTCCATTTGACTGTCAGTTTGAGAATGATAAGTGGTCAATGTGTTTCATTTGATATTGAGGAGTTGGTATAGGTCATCCAAGAACTTGAAGACAAATTATGGCCTCCTATCTGAGATGACTATTTGAGGCATCCTATACTGTTAAGCCCAAGCTCCATGTGACTATCAACACATGATAAACAGTTCAGAACCTTGCACTTCAGGTTAGACTGACTGAGTTCACTGATGTGTCAATAGAGGTGTGTAGTCAAGGCAATTGCAAGTTGCTCGAGATAGAATGGTAGAGAATAAACTTTAGTTCGAGACTGGAGTATTACAGTGAGAACTAAGCTACTTAAATACTGTTCTGTTATCTGACTATTAATAACTGTTCACAAAAGATATTGTCTGTCATAGAGCTGTTACCCCTGCTGTTGCCAGGCTCTCCACAAAAGCTGTTGTCTTGCTGTTGTGCTGTTATTGTTGCAGTGCAAGATGGGACAAAAGGAGCATTGTCTCTCTCTTTACAGCACACAGCAATGCACTAGGAGAGTAACCGACTGGGCTGCTGAGCTAAGCATTCTCACAGTCCTAAGCGCTGGCCTAAGTGCCCTGACTAAGCAGAGATAGGGGTCATTTCTGAGGAAAAAGAAAAGAAAATAGGAAAAATTGTAACACATACTTGGTATAAACCTCATCTCATAGAATTTTTGCTCACTCCTTCAATGTTAACTCCATTAAACAAGTGATTGGTATAATCACTTTTGAAAATCAATTGACTATAATGAGGATGGCATCATAGCTGTTACAGTCTAGTAATCTGGTGATCATATCCACTGAAATGTGGATCCATGGTGATGATGAGATCTCATTTGAGTGGAGTGGTGCCACTCATGGCTGTCAAAAACTTATCTCTTTGACACACTTCACATACCTTGATATATTAAGTAATGTCATTGCCCATCTTGGGCCATCAATATTTCTGGAGAACAAGTTTTTTGGTTTTGGCAATGTTTAGATGGCTGGCAGTTATGTGGTCATGACATATGGTGATGATTTCACTATGAAGAGCCTGGTTCCTAAGAATATAGATCTGCCTATCATAGCAGATCATTTCTCCTTCTTTCATCATTTCACACTCATGATTGAGTGACAGAGCTATATGTTGGTTTCACTTTTTCACATCTCTTGTAGCACTTTTGATCCATTCATGGATCTCTTTCTCAGTTGGCATTATCATTGCCTGAAAGTGTTCAGGTTTTAATAATGTGACTCTCTTATTGTCTCCTTCTCTCTGATTGTGGTTGGCCTGTCAACTGAGGAGATCAGCTTTCTTGTTTGCTGCATCAGCTTTATGGTGCAGCATATATTGGTATTGGCTGAGCTCAGTTATCCATCTGGTCTGATGCTGGTTTAACTTTTGTGGCTGTCAGAAGTACTACAAGTTTTGATAGTCTGTCTAGATCTCAAAGGTTTTGACTGCACTGATCAGGTAATGCCACCATTCTTTCAGAGCAAGCATAATAGCAAGCAGCTCCTTGTCATATATTTTGTAGTTTCATTCTGTGACTGTCAAGGCCTTAGAAAGGAATGCTATGGGTCACTATTTCCTATTTTGCTCCTGGAACAGGATGGCACTAATCACTTCTTCACTGGAATCTGCCTTGATTTAGAATTTGCCTTTCTGTGTTGGGATGGCAAGTACTATGTTCTCTGTCAGTTGGTGCTTAAGGTCATTAAATGCTGATTGTTGGGATGGGCTCCAAGTCTATGGTGCATTGCCAGTCAGCTGAGTCATCAGCTGGACTATCTTGCTGTAGTCTTGGATGAACCACTGATAGAAGTTGGTGAAACCCAAAAAGAATTGTAATTTCTTCTTCTTGGTGGGTTCCAGCCATTCTGTTACCTCTGCCACCTTGACAGGGTCTATTCTAATGCTTCCTTTGCTGATGAAGACTCTGAGATACTTGGTTTTGAGTACCTTGAACTTGCACTTCTTGGCTTTAAGAAATAATTGGTGTTTCCTCATGAGGGTTAGTATCTGTTGGACTAGCTGACAATGTTCCCCTTTAGTTTTTGACATGATAAAGATGTC